AAAAGATTTTTGATTAAATCATTCAACCCCACTGAGACTCACTTCATAAAATTACTTAAGTGAGCTATTGATATTGGTTATTTATTAGTATATTGGTTATCTGTGTATTGGTTAATTATTAATATTAGTATATTGGTTATTTACTCTCCAGGTGCACAGTATTTATATTGTTAAAACACTTAACCGTACAGTTTTTCATTTGTTTATTTTTTAACTATTCACTATTATGTTATTCTTATACACTATTCTTAGGTCCACATTTGTGTGACCATTTTTTTATAATCTATTTGCTGCTGTAAACTCCAGAATTTTTCCCAATGTGGGAAAATAAAGGTGTTTTCTATTCCATTCTATTCTATTCTAATGATTTATGATTAGATACAAAACAACTAGCAGAATGAGTAGAATTAGAGTTACACAACTTAATTTAAAAAGGGGGGGAAGGGGAATTCACTTGGTTTTATTTCAGCTAAAAAGAGCAACAACAAAAAATGTATTTGCTTCCAAACTTCTAATTAACTCTGAAAGTTCATTAACCAAAGTGGCCTCTAGTGTTTTCTCTGTAACATCTTAGCCTGAATTAACTGAAACCCTCCCCAGAATATGCAAATTAATACTCTTCCATCCAGAAGCTTGGAGTCGGTACCAATCAGGAAAACCTCCTCCAAAGGATGACACCAGCCAACATAAGCCTTCACCTTCACCCATAATGACCTTTACTGCCAAACAGATCTCTTTACAAAGTTGCAAGGAACTGGTCTTCCCTTTAGCGTTCTATCTACTCAACAGTCACTTCATTTTTGGAAGCGATCATGTCTGAAACAGGCAGAGAAAAATCAACAGAGTTGTTAGGTTATTGTAACTGTACTGTAACTATTAGATCAAGTCAGCATTAGAGTCCAACAGCAGGTCAAAGTAAATCAGAGCATTAATGCAACACAACATCTGCTTTCAATGTTTAGAGGGAAAAAAAATAAAAGGCCGGCAGTGTAACCTGGAGTGGATTAAAGAATATGATGGGAATTCTTTGATTATTAGTGACAAGGATGTTAAAGAAAATTAGGCATAAATAAGAGTCAGGATCTCTGCTTTAGAGGAACAGAAAATCTTCCTGCTCAGACTCACAAGTTGAGAAAGGGGGCGGTGGGATGTTAAAGCAGCTCTAAGATGTGTTTGTCTTGGCACAGCCTCAGAATGATGTCATCATTATCATCATCATGGCATTGCTGCACTTCTTTGCCTCAGAAGATGACGACAGCAGACACACAAACTTGTGCATTCAGCTCTTAGCAAAGACTTCCCTTGCTCCTGTTGCACTAAGGGCTCAGATGAACGGTCAAAGTTTGTGTTCCCAGCAAAGCCTGGTGAGCAGATGCCATCAGGACGGATCTGCGGAAACGGGACCACAGAGTATAATCCCCATGCAATTCAGGCCGCAGTCCTAAGGAGAAACCTTTCATAGCGTCTGTCTGCCAGCATTTCAGAAAGTGTTGATAGCTGATCAGAGATGTTTCAGACAACAAATTTACAACAAATTTTTTGACGATTATTATTTATCAAGTTAAATCAACAGCATTAGAATCAAGGTTTACCAAAAAATTCTAGAACTATTTCAAAATGTGCCAGAATTTATGGAGATTGACCCTCAAAGAATACATAATCTTCTCCAGAGCTACAAAAGCTGTCAAACCACTGAAAGAGTCAATTTAGTCTTAGGTGCTTCCGACATCTTGAGATAATGGAAAGATCAGACCTGTTTAGTCAGATACAGCTTTTGGTTTCCAAACGACCAATTTATAAGAGCACCTCTGTCAATTTCAACCTGTGCAAAGTCTTTCGGGTGTATAATCAAAGTGCACAATCTAGGAACCAAAGGTATTATAGGGAAAAGTATTTCATTAAGTAAGTTCAACATTATTTTCCATTATTTTTACCTTTAAGCACTCCCATATTTTATTAGATAAACTATTTTCTAAACCACATTTAAAAAAAAAAACAAGTATCTGAGATGTGGGAGTTGAAATAAAGCAGTTTTGAGGGGGTTAGTATAATGCCTGCTAAACCATTTGGTGTAAAGGAGTCTGGGTTTCACATTAATTGTCTAGGTTTGAGCTACAAATCATGGTTTAAACCACTCCTCTTCAGATATATCTACTAGACGGTCATTCCTCCATGCCACAGGTTAGTTTAGGGAAGACTCCTTGGATGCTTTCATTATTATTTATATTGCTAGAAGCTTTTTTTGGAGCAAATGCTTGAGATTTGTGATGAAACTAACTGGTGTTCACAACACATCTTGGCTAATAATCTGGGTAACAGCAGAAAGAGTCACAAATCCATCAAATGTATCATTCTCTATCACGCAGCTCTCAAAATTTGTAGGTGGTTGAACGACTGCAGGCAACATATTATAGACAAATCTAAGCAGAACCACTCATCTCTGATCTATCATCATTGCGCAATAGATGGGTAAATCCTGTCCCCAGTCCACTGCAGTCTGTAAATCCAACCAAATATAATGTGTTTTAATCATGAGGTAAACACATCTTTCCATCAAGCTGGATTAATTCACATTAACACTCGTGTTTCCGAGAGATACTGTGATTATTTTCAGATGACTTGGTTGGTTTTAAATATTTATATTATTCAAAGTGTCTCAAAGCAGTCCAAATTTCCTTTGGTCCAAAACTGTGATCTCTTAGCAGCAGAACCTAGAGAACCAAACTATTTTTAATGTGTTTCAAAATCCTGTTCTCAAAAGTCCAAACATATCCAGGGTTTAAAAAGTTTCACATGTTAGGCAACATATTTAATAGGCGGCCATTATTTTGTTGAGTGGTTATTTTGGAAAAGACACCAGAAAAAGCTAATCTTCATCTATCAAATGCTGAAGCTTTCTATGAATATTTTCCTCAATCTAATTAAAATCCAATCTTTTCAATTATACTTTCAGGTCACAAAAGAAAACACCAATAGCCACTAACTATTGCAATTTTTATGAACTGACCAAATATGAACTTTAACTTTTACATTTCTATTAAAGAAAGACCATTATAACAAAAGCAAGCAAGATACCATCATGAAGGTGATTCAGTTTTTCCAAACCCATACGGTGCTTTCTAATATTATTGGCAGCGTTGGTTAAAATATCAATAGAAATACTGAAATTAGTGTTTATGGACACTTTGTGACCCCAGTGTGGGATTCTGCACTGTAGGTCTCTCAGTGGTGTTTGGTGTACATGTATAGTTAAGCCAAGAAAAATCTGCCTCATCTGTCACAAAGTTTTAAAGCCGCCAGAATAAACCAAGATTAAAACTTGTTGTTTTAGTTTGAAATGGTGGATATACTAGTGTCTCCACTTGGTTTAAAGGGAAATTATCACACTTTTCTGAATTTTTTTTACAAAAGATGGATTGCAGATTGAAGGCTTTGCTTTACATGGGTTGTAGCTTCACATTGTTGCCTTAAAATTTTTGATGCTCTACTTTACCATTTCATGTATGAAAATAAAAGATCAGATATTTTTGTCGCAATTCTATATGCTGCAAATCAAGCCTATAGCAATTAATCTGCTATAGGCTTAGACTGTTGGAGGACATAGAGACCACTTTTCATCATTCTGCTTCATTCTATCTCTATTCTCCCATTCTGCAGAATTTTTTAAGTTCTAATCATAGCTTGATGTCCTGTTTTATCTTGTCATTGCTTCAAAGTGATATTTACTTATTTGTATAGGGCTAATTCCCAACACATTTCATCTCAAGGTACTTTACAGAGACAATTTAACAAGATTATCCATAAGACTGGTTCAACGTTTTCTACCTAAGGAAAATCAACTGACTGCATCCAGTCATTGACTCTACAGCAATTCCTCAGTTAAAGGAGAGCTAGTCTTCCGCAGATGACAGTCAGTTATGTCATCCTATTTGATTTTGAATATTAGGAACTGATTTTTGGGATGCAAAAGAGGAAAACCTTCTGTCAGTAGAAGTCGGTTTGTATTCCCTCCTGAGAAGGTTTTATTAAACTGATACAAGGGCAAATTCAATTGGAGTTGACTACTGCAGGAAACAGGAAGAGTGACTGTATGACAGCATGTCCTTTGTTTTATTTTGACCTCAAAAATTTCATAAAACAAACAAGAAGCTGGCAATGTTGGAACATTTCTGGAGATCTCGGAGGTAAGGTGAAGCTTAGGGCTGGGCGATTAGTCGATTTTATTGATTAATTGAATTTTCCGTTTATGAAAATGACATTTTTAGGGTTTGGGGTCCCATGGCTCAGACTATCAGTTCATCACTTTTTCTTCTTGGATATCAAACTAGCCTTACTGTGTGATACTACTAATTGTAAACATGTATTATGCTATAATATTTTCGTATTTTTTTTAATAAAAAATTCTTCTTAAATAACCGTGTTTGATAGCTTGAGTTTCTTTGCCCTTTAAATGAATGTAATCTCCCAGAGGAGATGATTGAAATCATCATCATGAAATTTAGGGGACAATAAAAAATGTATTGATTGGATTGGTTGGGATAAAATCAGAATGTTTTTAAGGTCATATTGCTTAGCTCTGGTGGAGCTTTATTCTCTTTTAAAGAAATGGAATCAGGCTAACTGTTAATATGGGCTTTACTTCAACTGCCTCCTTTTACATCAACTTTCCTTAATGCTTGTAGATCTATTGTGACCAAACAGCACTGATCCCCCAAAGGCAGCCCTGATGGAGCGAGTGAGGCAGCAGATAAGATGCAAAATATGAGGTTCTTTCAAACAAACCGAAGAAGAAAGTTAAAAAAAATTAAGGAGCTGTAAGCATAACTTCAAATGTTTGCATGTTTTCAAGTCAAAAGCGAAGAAGCTCTAAGTGTCAAGTAGCTTCCAAATCAAAACCACATTTCTTGACGCCTTTTTAACAACAACCATAAACAATGTTAGGAGCTGCAGTTCAGATGGTTTCAGGCATTTATGTTTAAAGAAAACACAGATGAACTCACCACTTTCGCTCTTCTCAATCACGTCCACAGTCTCGCCGGCCTTGAGGTTGATCTCAGAGTTCTCTTGCCTCTCGTAGTTGGCCACGGCCACGTACTGCTCCAGCACCATGGGCTCTGAGCCGTCAATCCCTGAGGGGAAGAAACAGGCTGTCAGCCACCTGCCGGCCGTGGCACCCCGCGAATGCCCGCTGCACCCTAAGCCCCCACCGCCGCCCCCGCCGGGCACCCGGTGTGCGGCCATCTGCCAACCCCAACTCCCTGCCGCTGCACCTCCCCGTCCAATCAGAAAACAACCTCCTAAATCGGCCGCATCGTCCCAAATGTCTGGCCATACAGCTGTTCCAGAGAAAACTACTGAGGAGCATCGGAAGGAGTCAGACCAAAAAAGGGGGAGGACAAGAACATGCCATCATCCTTCACCTATAGATCTGTGAACGAAGCAAACTGGCCAATCCAAAAGGCAAAAGACAATCCAAAAAGGAAAATGAAAGAAAAGAGAAGAAACAGAGGAGCAACTGAAGAGTGGGGCGCGAATGAGTGGAGGAATGGTGAAGTTTCCCAGTGGAAAATCAACAGCGGTTGAGAGGAAAAGCCTCCCCTCCACCGCCTCTGGGAGCCAGCCGTTGGACGGGGAGGCTGAGGGGGGGTGAACACACCAATCATAGCAGTCAGCACTGCTGGCCTTAAATAGAAACATATGAGTGGACCAGGAGAGGGAGAGAGACCCAAAGAAAAGGAGGCTTGGTCCATGTTTGTGCGTAAGGAGAGAGGAGAGTGTTGGTCTTTGGACACTTTGTTTTCTTTACTTCTTTTTAACGTCTCAGCTTTTTTATAAGTTGTTTTTATATCTATTTTTCTTTCTTGGTCGCATATCAAAGACGAGCTACAAAGACTCAGAACAACTCTCTGCAGTTTGTGAACAAAAAAAAATCATCCAAACAGCAGTCCATGTGAGCACAATGCTGATAACACTGTTTTAATAAGGGGAGAGCGGAGACCGTTACACAGTTTTTACTTACCCCTCAATTTCACACAGGCTAAAATATAAGAATGGCTACATTTTAATATATTAAATCGAATGGAGATTTTCAAATTCTGCAACTATCCCTACATGTCACCATGGAGGCAGTTGCAGCAGTTGCATAATTTCACAGGAAATTGAAAAGGTCCTGCAAACTCAACACTTAGACTAGCAATCTCGAAATGACACTTGCACACAACAACAGCACAAGGCACATGCAAAGAAAAATAGCTGCAAGTGGCAAAAACAACTGCAAGTTAAGAAAAATGCAAATAGAGAAAATAAATATATCTTTGCAGCAGGTTTTGTGTTTGCATACTGTTCCCACTTTGCTGCTCTCTGTTTTCTGTCACTGCACCCTTTCTTAACATGCAGCATTTGTCCATCGCCTGTGTTTTTGTGTTAGCATCATTTCTGTCTTTGCTGGGCCATAGTTTTAAGTTTGCTGTTTTAATTTTTGAGTTTGCAGGACCTTTTTCATTTGCTGTGAAAAAATTTAGTTAAACAGCCTTTCAAGCTTGGAAACCATGGTAAATGAGCCAAGGTACACAATACATCCTAGGGATGGAACGGTTAATGAAAACTGTCCGAACCGTTCGGTTCGACTGTCTCTGTTCGGTTCGCGTGTGTTGCGCTCGGTTCATGCGCTGCTCCTTTTTCTCATAGGTGAAGCGTGTACACTCCAAAGCAGAAGGTGGCGGTACTGCAACCAAAGCCAACCACCAGTAGTAAAGAAGAAGAAGAAGCGAAGCAGTGTAGCCGGGTGTAGCAGAAAAAAATCAGTTGTGGAGAATTGTGTGGGTATGGCGAGTGGGAAAGAACAGGAGTTGGAAGACGCGCCAGCAGCACTTTATAGGTCTGCTGTATGGGACCACTTTGCATTTAGAGTGACCTACAATGACGGCGGCGGAAAGAAAGTTGTGGATAAAAGTGCAACAGTGTGCAAGCATTGTGCAACACGTGTTGTTTATGCTAACAGCAACACAACCAACATTTCAGGCTAACAATCAACATATACCGAACCGAAAACCGTGACCACGAAACCGTGAACCGAACCGAACCGTGGATTTTGTGAACCATTCCGACCTTAATACATCCACATGAACGCGCATTCACACAAGCCAAATTCTTGCTTCTACCCCGCAAGAAAAAAAGGGGTCAGAATGAGCTCTGTATAATATTTGTTCATCTTTAAATATATATACAAAATTTAAGAAGGATTGCATAAACATGGAACGCCATTTTACAACTTTTCGACGACTAGATTATTCTTTACAAAGACCTGTCAAAATGATTTTTGACCGATTTTAAAGTTTAAATACTTGTTTTTAAAGCCCTTCATGGTCTTATTCTGCTATATTTAACGTGACTGTACATCGCCCCAGCAGAGCTGATCAAATGGTTCTGGACGTCCCTAGGTCCCGGTATAAACAGTGGAGCCATGATTCCTTTGTGGTTACTGCACCTAAACTGTGGAACGACCTGCCCCTCGGTCTGTGGGTTCTCACTGTTCTGCATCTTTTAAGTACAAATCAAAGACTCATTTTTTTAAAACTGGCTTTTAATACTTAGGACACTTTGTTTTATGCTTAGGATATTATTTGGGTTTTTTCCTGCAATGTTTTTATCTTTCTGTGAAGCACTTTGGTCTTCCTGATGTTGTAAAGTGCTACATAAATAAACTTTGATTTAATTATTAAAATTAAACAGACAAAACAGATAAATCACCCTTATCACTGTTGAGTGTTCTAATTTACAGCTTAATACAACGAAAAATTTAAAAAACAGCGCTTCCTGTTTGGTCGCTGTCAAACAAAAAGCTTTTTTTTTAAACAATGAAAGTATATTATTTTCTGACGACCTAAAGAGCAGTTAGGTCTGATGCTCAGACAGATAGAAATGCTTCTCCTTTCACTCCCTGTACCAAAGAGAAGTGCATGAGATCAAGGGAAGCAGCCAAAGACCAAAAAGGACAGGATTTCAAAGCACTTTATAAGCTACATGCATACCTACAGTCTGGCTCTACATCCAGCTACGCTTTTACTCAGGCAGGTTCATCCATCCTGAGATGGAAGAACAATGTGCAGGGAGGCAGAGATAGTGATTCAGAGCAGATGGGACATGCAAAGCAGATGTCCAGAGAGAGATGAGGTGTGAAGAGAAATAAACTGAGATAACAGACGTGACGCAACTGGCCTGTGGCTCTCATAACACATGCATATCAAACATGTTGACAAAGACACACACAAGGCTACCTGAGGCCTCTTTCCTCGGGCTGTCTGTAAAGCCGTACATCCACACTGCAGACAAAAAGGAGGAGGAACACAAGAGAAAGAGAGAGAGAGAAATTATTTAGCTTCACAGCAGACAGAAGAAAAAGTAAGCAGAGGTTTATCAGAGTTGGATCCAGAGTCAGGGCCAACTCATCTGGAAGTGATGGACAGAAAATGTTTCTCCAACTGATGGGTGAAAAGATGAAGGGCATCTAACTGCTCAAACAGCCCCAGCTGAAAACTACAATCAGCACCCCACCTATCTGCACAGCCTTCCAACCTTCTCGTATGACCTTTGCAGTGTCTCTTCCTAAATTTCCAAGTTTTCTATCGTTCCTCCTGGAATGCCAGAGGAGGTCCATAATAACCACCAACCCCATGTTTCCAAACAACAGGAGCTCTAACCAGGAAATTAAATTTCCTTTACCAGACAACACACAGAGAGAAGGTGGAACAAGGGTTAAGGCAACACTCAGAGGTAAAGAGCAGGTCTATCAAGCAGAAATCTGGTGCAAACGCTGGTTATGTAGCACTGATCTTCCACTAATAAATTACATTGATAAGGAGAAAAAATATATAATTACAGGATTAGCGGATGGGATTTTATTAGTGTTTTTATACAATACTTGAATATAATTTGTTAATTCTGTCTCAGATTTCCACAGTATAGTGCCATAAGCCAGGAATACACTGTACAATATTTCCAATCATTCGACGCAGCTACAGCTTAGGCTGTACGATGAAATTACAGGGTTTAAGTTCACAGCTGTATGTTCTCAGACTGCATGGCCCGATGCTCTGATGCTATCTATCTGCTCACACTGTACGTCCAAAAACCACGTCAGACTCAGAGAGATGGCACTGGTTGGACTCGTCAATCTGGAAAAAGAACTCCGTTGTTTGCACTTTCGTCATGCACGAAAACTCAAGAAACTTCTTCATTAAAAGAAAGAACGTTATGGGCAACACTGGGCATCCTGAGCTTTCAAAAGACTGTTAAACACCAATACGGTGTCTTCCTGTAAAGGTTTCTCCAGATCCAGTCCGAGACAGACATCCTTCCTGCCAACAGGTATTAATTAACATCTACAACAACTAATTCAAAAATAGCTAATCAGTTCCTACAACATTCAATTTAGCTTTAGGTTCAATACTTTTAAATTAAATTTAATTGAATGTGCAAAAAAATGATAATCTACAACTATCAGTAACACTTTTCACAGTACATCAATAACCATGTAATAACATGGTCATAAGGTGGCAAGTTACACCATATTACTACGTATCAACAAACACTTTATGGAGAATTTTGGTAAGTGCTGTGCTTCAAATTTTAGGTGGGCATGGTAATGTAAGATTTTTTAGATGTCAAACCATTATCACCAGGTAACTCAGTGATTTCACAGGCAGTAATAAGTAAATGTGTTATTAACTACTAAAAAGCAGTTTATTACTTGGCAAGACAGAAAGCCAATTTCTTAATTAAACTCTTATTTATGAGTAACTTGAGTTCAGTTTTATTCGCTTTATTTACCTGATCACAAGTTACAAATTACTTTGTAAGCCATTGGTAGGTGGTGGCCAATAATAGAAACTGTTATGTGGTAACCTAAGGGTAAATACCCACCAAAGGTCTACAGAGTTACATAGTAACATAGAATTGTATTAGTTAGAGGAAGTTAATTACCTGCATATTTACCTTATTTTGTAGGTTATTACCAAGTAAAAGTTTTCTTGTTACCAAGTATTATAGTGTGAGATGCTATGTTATTCCCATGTTATTGATGTACTGTAAAAGAAAGCATTTTCCAATTATACTAGCTTCATCTGGTCTGTTCCTGTTTGGCTTTGACTCCATCCTGGAGATAAATATCAACTGCGCTGCTGCAATTAACATCGTGGTTTATAGATGTTGGAGATCGGCCTGTTTTTCAGTGTAGTCCTGTTTCTCTGACTGTAACTGGCTGGATGTGCTTTCTTCATCCACTGACATGGGAGCGGACTCGGAGCTCGTCTGCCTGGCTGTGTGTTTCCTGGACGGGGCTGCCTTTTACAGCTGCTTTTTGTATCTCTGCTTCTGTCTCCTTGAACACCAGTCGGCCTCAGCAGATGGTCGCTCACACTGAGCCTGGTTCTGCTGGAGGTTTCTTCCTGTTAAAAGGGAGTTTTTCCTCTCCACTGTCGCTACAAGCATGCTTAGTGTGACGGATTGCCTTTGAGTCAATGAGTTGATGCCATCAACTGGTTTTCCTTAGAAAACTTTGAATCATTTTTACTGAGTGATCTGGTGAACTGTAAAGTGCCTGAGATGACGTGTTGTGAATTGGTGCTATATAAATAAATTTGATTATCCATATAGTGTATATTACCATTGCAATATGACCCTTTTCCAATGTCTGACAAAACAAATCTATATATGTGATCTCATTTTAAAAAACTATTGTTATACTCTTATCAATTTTGTTTTTAAACCTCTGTGTCTTCCTTTTCTGATCTCCATATTAGCTGTTGATTTTATTCCATAGCATAAAAATACTTTTTTCCATCATTTGTCCCTGTACCATTCCAACAGTAATTATCCCTGCCTACCAAAGTTTAGCTTTAGCCAATCTCTGAAACAAATGATATAGCAGCAAGTCATGAGAAACCACAACAATTTATGTGCCTGTCAGACAGGCCGCGGTTTGCCCCACGCTTGTCTCGAGGTTCAGTGCAGAGCGGCTCTGGCTGTGGGCTTCACAACGACCATTTCCAGGTCCGTTTTCAGCTCATTGTGGAGCGGTTTAAAAGTTTGCAGAGTAAAGTAGCAGCAAAGATCTCTATGATGACACAAAGCAAACACTAGTTTCTCATCCAATTCGCTCACCTGCATAATTGTGTGAACGGGTGAACGACCATCTGTAGTGTAAAGCTCTGACAATGAAAAGGAAGCAGGCATTCACATCAAATGTTCACGTTTGTGGTATTTAAGCAATAGACTAGCAAGTATTTAAGCAATAGACTGTTACTTCAAATGCTGCATACACAGTTACACTGCAAAAACAATCTAGAAATAAGTAAGAAATTCTTAAATTAACTGTATTCACCCTTAATTTGAGCAGGTAAATGAGATAGTATGCCAATGGAATGAGTAATTTTACTCTTAAACTAAGATAATTAGATGATATGCACTTGAAATAAGACAATGCAATTGTGTTTTCTTATTTTAAGTGTAAATTGTCTTGTTCCATTGGCAAAATGTCTCTTTTACCTCCTCAGTGTACAGTACAGTAGGAGTCTTTTCACAGATTAGAAATGTTGACTCCAATAGATTTGAAAAAGAATAATGGGCCATATTTAACATATTAATAATTTTCCCTTGTTTGAAATATAGTAAAGTTAACAAGGTAATATCAATATATTTTACCTCTATGTCCTCTTCATAAGCAATGTACAGTTAATCCTTCAACTAATGTTTCAGCTCCTGCATTTCTTTTAACAAATACTAAATCGCTTCTCTATTAGTTTACATTTTTAATGATCTCTATTGCCCTTGATTGGTTCAGACGTGGAAGCTACTAACTCAATGTGGACATAGGTTAGGCTACGGTGACCAGACATTCCCGGGGAGCAGAGCGCCTCACTACACCGAAAACATCCTCTGCAACCGCCCCGTTCCAGACCTCCAGTGCAAAGCCTACTGCCTCCGCTGTTCCTCCAGTCTTGCTCCGCTCCGACTTCCTCTGGGCTCAAGGAGAGCATGCGTGACTTTAATATAATTATTAAATTCCCTGGAGCAAAACATGAGGAAATTAACTCTTCATTTAATGACAAAAATAAAAGTCACCATCAGCATCCGTCACACATTTCTGCCAAAACATTTTCTTTCTATTGAGCATCTTTGTAAAAGGGATAATTAGAATCATACATGGTTTGTTCTCTACCTCCAAACTCAGCATCTCTTCATCCAAGCCTGAGATAAGAAGTTTGTTTTGAAGTTGTGAGATACGTTTTTGGAAGTTGTGACTGGATTTAATGAAACTTTTAAGCCTCTTAGTATAAAATAAATATTTTGATCGAGATGAGAAATTTGTTTCATGGTATGTTGATATACCAACAGTTTGCATTTAATAATTTAAATAAACGGTGTTAGTTTTTGGGAATATATAAGAATTATGCTCTAATTTTTTTGTTAGTGATCTGTCGTTACAGGATTTTGATTGTATTATGTCTGTTTTAGATTAGTGTAAGATTGATAGAACAGGAAGATTAGAAGATTGATAGAAGAAGATTGAATGAGAGCGAAGGAAAATTCTGCTTAGAAGAGTAAAACAGAGAACAGGTAGAAGTCAGCTACAAATAGAAGATGGAGGGAAGAAGACAGAAGACTGAATGACCAGATGGCAATAATAAACTATTCATTGATTCATTTAATCAACCTTAGGAAATATGAGAGGCACATTCCTGGATTTTACACTTGATTTTTGTTGTGTAAATATTAATAAATATGTAAAAATGGATGAAAGCATCACTGTCCCCGTTTCCTATTTTAATTCTGATGATATGTCTTTACATATGCTGGATGCTGATGGGGATTTTTTTTATATATGTTATATTAAATAAAGCATTAATTCCCACATGATTTGCCCCAATGAATTTAAAAATAATATAGCGCACGCTCTCCTCAAGCTCTGAGGAGTTGATCTTTAACAGCAGTAAGACAGAGGCTGTAGGCTTTGCTTTGGGCTGGCGGTCTGGAGCGGAGCGGGGAGATGACAGAGGACGTGGGGTTTCAGGGTAACACAGGGTTGCTGCGTCCAGTCAGCATCATCTGTTTTAAAACTGGTGCACTCTGCACCTCATCTATACTTTAACAGCCGTTTCCGTGCACAGCATGCTAGCACGATCTTTGTACCATAATAATAATATATGCAACATTTTCCCCCTGATTCCTAAAATGGTGAAATCTGAGGCATTTCCGGGGACAGCTTTAGCGGGGATCATCACTGGAAATCGGGGACGTCTGGTCACCATAATTTAATTGTTTA